AAAAAAAAAAAAAAAAGTAAAAAAAGAAAAAAAGAAAATGAAAAAAGTCAAGAAAAAAAAAGTTTATAGGGTGAGCATGGTGGCTCACACCTGAGGCTGAGGTTGGAGGACTGCTTGAGTCCTGGCGTTTGAGACCAGCCTGGGCAATATAGTGAGACCCTGTCTCTATAAACAATAAAAAAATTAGCCAGGTGGTAGCACGTGCCTGTAGTCCTAGCTGCTTGAGAGGCGGAGGCAGGAGGAGCGCTTGAGTCCAGGAGCTTGAGACTTCAGTGAGCTATGATTAAGCCACTGTACTCCAGCCTTTGTGACAGAGTGAAACCCTGTCTAAACGAAAAAGTTTATAATCAAAGTAATAAAAAAATATAACTAGGTAACCTATAACTATTTTTATTTTGGAAGGAACTTGTCCCAAATATAACTTACTTGGTGGCATTACTGATGGCAATGGCAGGCCGTCCAGAGCAGCCACTGCCATCACGCCGGCTGCAGCGCGGATGTGTGAGCATTGGTGGCAGGAGCGGCTGTGGGAGTGGCAGTGGCAGTTGTGGGACCTTTGCGCCCCGCGTTCCCGAGGTGGACAACTGTGCGGCCCCCAGTACCCATCCTCATATGGCCAGACAGGACCCGTTCCCAGCCTTGGAGCCTCCACTGCTCCAGACCCTGACCCTGAATTACTGCTCTCGCCCACTGTCACTGTGGGGAGCACGTGCGGAGGAGGTGGACAGTCCCCAGAGCCCACTGCCCTGGGGGCTGCTGTGATGGGGCAAGGTTGAGCTGCCTGCCAGCAGGGGAGCAGCATGGTCGGGCACGGAGAGGTGGGCAGAGAGGGGCCCAGCAAGGACCTGGAGTCCTCGCCCTGGGCTGCAAGGAGGCGCAGCTGGGGCTGCCTGTACACTCCATGGAGCAGGCGGGAATCCCACCCTCCCAGGCGCAGGACCAGGGCATCTCTGCACTCTGCACCCTCTGGGGGACAGGAAGGCCCCATTCCCCCTGCAGGCCTGGGGGTGTCTGTTCCCACTGCCTGGCCTCTCTCCGCTCCCAGCGCCTGCTCCGATCTCAGAACGGGGTTGGGGCCAAGCCCGGGTTCTGTCACAACCCAGCTGGGTATCTGCAGGCTTGGGGCAGTACTGACATGCCAGCCCCCTGCTGCTTCCGCCCCCTCTAGATGTTGGGCGCCGACAAGCATGGGAGGGAGGCAAGGGTTGGCAGGGCTGAGGCCTGGCCTCACAGGCGCCCCTCTGCAGGAACAGCCTGGGTGTCACGAAAAGTGGTAGGAGGCAGATAGGCTTCAGAGTGGAAAGGAGCAGGTTCTCAGTGAAGCCCCACCTTTAGGCCGGGTGAGGCCTGAAGCTCAGGGACTGGGCTGCCCATCCTGCACACCAGAGGGGGAACTTATGGTGCTTTTTCCTGGGCCTGCCCAAGGGCCAATCAGCATGCACTTCCTCCCCTCTGAGGCCCGTAAAAGCCCGGGGCTCAGTCAGAACTGAGCAGAGGATGGATGACCAGCTGCAGAGAGGAACTACCTTCTCTGCTGCTAGTTGAACACTTGTTAGGATGACCAGCTGCGGAGACCAGCTACCCTCCCTGCTGAGAACTGAACATTTGTTGGAACAACCTTCCTGCATAGACGAGCTACCTTGCAAAGAGGAGCTCTCCTCTCTGCTGAGAGCTGAAAACTCATCAGGACAACCTGCCTAGCAGAAAGGAACCACCCTCTCTGCTAGGAGCTGAACACTCATTGGGACACCCTGGCTGCAGAAAGGAGCTACCCGCTGTGGGTCTCCTCTGAGCTGTTCATCACTCAATAACATCTTGCTCACCCTCCACTTGTCTGCATACCTCGTTCTTTCTGGTCACAGGAGAAGAACTTGGGACCTGCCAAATCGTGAGGCTAAAGGAGCTATAACACAAACGGGGCTAAGACATCCCCCTTGCTGCCAAGTTGCGGGTGAAGAGAAGGGCTGTGGCCTTTCGGGGAGTCCAGACCTGGGAGCTCCCCAACCCAGGGCTGTGACTTCCTCTTTGAGTCCCTGCAGTTCCTGGCGTCTCCAAGCTTCTGGGTGCCAATGTGTTCCCTGGTGCCAGCTGTGGAAGCTGCTTGCAGTATGCCTGGTCCAGCCACAGCCTTGCAGAGAGCTGGCACATCTGGAGCTGCCCGCCCCACTGCAGCAGCTGGTGTGTCTGACTGTGCAGTAGCCAGACCTCACGCTCGCTCACACATGCCTTGCTGCTCCACGCCGTACTTGCTCTTGGCAGACGTGGGATCCAGGCCGGTAGCGTAAGTTGAGCACAGCCTGCCAGGCCAAGTAGGTGGAATGAGCCCAGTGGGCCTGAGCAAGACTTGGGCAAAGGCGCCACAGGCCACAGAGGTTTCCGGCCAGAAAAGCGACACCCTCAACATCCCATGACATTACTTTACCTGTTCAAATATGGACTATGAAAGGATATTGAGAAGTTGGGCATCTCAGAGACTTAGACATTGAAAAGATAATAACGCACCACAAAAATGTAAATCCAAATGGCTAGTTGTACACAAAAAGGTTCTCAACAGCATCAGTAATCAGAGAAATGCCAGTGAAAACCATAATGATATACTACTACACGCCCACCAGATTGGCAAAGCCAAAACAACCAACAATGTCAAGTGTTGTGAAGGTGTGGAGCAATGGGACTCATACATACCTAATGTGAGTGTGTAACCCTCTAGAAAAGAACTTGGCATTATTTATTCAAGTTTGTGATACATCTTACCACTCCCAGGCATATGCTATACAGAAACTGACATAGATGTGATGGAATACATATATGAAGAATGTTCACATTAGCATTTATAACAGTCCTAAACTAGAAACAACCCAGATGTCTATCAGCAACAGAATGGCTAAACATATTGTCACATACTGATACAATGAGACACTGTAATATGCAGCAATGAAAATGCACAAATTACAGCTATAGGAACAACCTGAACAACATATGAATTAAAAACAATGTTGAGCAAAAGCAGCAAGAACAACAGATTACATATTATATTGTTCCAGTTACATCAAGTTCAAAACAAAGAGTGAAACTAAACAATATATTGTTTAGGGATGCATGCTTGTGACAAAGAAAAGCAAGGAAATGATTATCACAAATGTTAGAATAATGGCTACATTTAGGAGGGAGGGAAAGAGTTGTGTTCAGGAAGGTCATGGGGCAGGGCGGGGAACTTCTGAGTTGCTGGAAATATTCCATTTCTTGACCTGGTTGATCGGTTACATGGTGGTTTCCTTTATAATCACTTATTATACTATATAATTGCTTTATGTATTTAAACTATATTTCACAATAAAAATGTTAAAATTAATATACTATAGATAGTATTTCTGGAAAGCAAAATTTTGCCAGATAATTTAGCTTATACAATCTTTGACAGTAAAACCCACTGATGTGGAATAACAAAACATTGATTAATTTCTCATAAGAGCTCACTTTCAAGTGTAGAGGTCAAAAACCTTATAAGAATCTCCTTTGTTCTATATTTTAACACAGTTTTTAGGTCTTTATCTTAAATTGATGAACCAGGGAAGGAACTATTAGCTAAAACTTCAGATTTTTTGGAATTTTGAATTAACTAGCTGTTTTCTCCTCTGGATTAATAAGCAATACAAAGAACTAAAGAGATGCAGACCAAGTTGGAAATGTATGAACTTCCTTCTCTCCAGCCTCCAGTTCCAGCTGTTTCCTCCTGTTATCAAGCTGGATGTTGAGGAGGGTATCTAGCCCAGTAAGCTTAGTGTGCTGTTATTAAATACTTTCTAAGTAGGTGGCTCAGGCTCTCCTGAGTGCCCTTCTGTTCCTCAGCACTAAGGTTGTAAGGTGGAGCCACTGACAGTGAAAACAGAAGATCACGCTGCTGAAAAACCCTATGTGGTACACACTTAACTGGAGGTGTTCTCTGCTGGACTGCAGAATTCTGATGTTTGCACTCTTTTCCTTCAAAGCCCACAAAGGTTAAACTCTCTGAGGTGTTTAGCTTCACAAAATCCCCTAAATCTGTGTGTTTTACTCCTTTAATTTCCACCATTCCCCTGCTGTAAGATAGGAAGAGGGGGAAAAACAAAAAATATTTATTTCGTAGCCATGTGAAACCATCACTTGTTGGTCTGATTAACTGTGAGTCTTATTTGGAAGGCTGTAGCAGGGGATTGGTCATATAAAGACAGAAAAATCCAGGGTAATTTAAGCAGGATATTTAACCTGGCTCTTGGAACTTCAGATCAAGGGCAGTAGGGTCAGGTGCTAGTCTGTGAGTCTCTTCTTGGTTTTGCCACATTCTCCTTTGCCCCTCCCACCACCTTTCCCGCAGCATGTTAATGAACACGAGGCCTTGTATTTACCCAGTTAAAAGGCTCCTTAGTCTACTGTTTGCAGATGGTAGTGGCAGTAGTGGGAGAAACCCAGAGCTTCCCACATTTGTCTATATTACACTTGCTCCTATCTCACCCCCTCCTTCAGGTGGAAAGACTTGTAAAGTCCATTACTACTGCTTCCCAAGGAGGTAGAGTGTACTAGGGTCCACGGACAGAATTGTGGAATCTGCTTTCATCATTGCTGCTGTTTTAATCTTTTCCTCATACTACTCACTTAAGACAGATTTCTGAGGATTCTGGTCCTTTTATCTTAAATTTCTTTTCCTAGAGAACTACACTTTAAACTTCATGAGTTTTTCCTTGACTTTCCTTTCCAGGATAACATCTGTAGGAAAAGCTGCATAATAGTAATAACATTTATTTTAGAAAGAAAATAACCTTTGAGTCAGACCTGAAACACAGGCTAACATTTCTTGATGACAACGTACACTGATGAACCAAGATCAGAAGTTCTCGAAAGCCCCAAGCCATAAGAAAGAACCATTCGTAAAAGTGAGGCACTGTTAAATTCTTCCCCTGACAGTTAAAAATCCTTCAACAATCTCCCAGAGGATGGCTCCCTTCCAATCCTTCCTTCCCGCCATCCTAACAATCTGCACGAGGATGGGTTCCTTCCTCTGCCCGGCATTTCGTCTCCTTGTCCGCTAAAGACTCAGGTTGTGACTGTACTCAAGCCGCACCCCTGTTTCCTTTCACGGCTAGGAGGAGGGAAGGAATTTATTACAACTCATTTGTATAATGCACTGTAGTTTACAAAGCACTTGCACTTCCACCATATCCTCTGAGCTTCGCGAGTGCCACGTGAGAGAGGCATTCATTCATTCATTCATTCATCAAACATTTGCTCGTCCCGACCACACGTTATCCAATGCCGGGTCTCACCCCACGCCACGGGAAGGTTGGGGCGCTCTCTCCCTGGAGCAGGTGCAGCGGGTCAGGCTGTGCGGGAACTCCTCGATCAGTCCGGCTTTTCGAGGGTCTGGGGCCAAATGCCTCATCTTCGGGTGGTGCGCGCAGCTGTCTGAAGGCGCGGCCTGGGCCTCCTCTTTCCTCCCAAAGGAGCAGTCCCCACCTGCCCCGAAGGAAACTGCTACAGAGCAAGCTCTCCAGGCCGCCCTCGGGTCAGGGGTAAGATCGGGCGGCAGCTTAGGCTCGACTCGGCTCCTCCCCTTCCTTTCTTCAGTTCTGACGCGGCCGTAGAGGCGGCAGCGGCGGCGGCGGCTGCGAGTCCCGCGGCCCGAGGCGCACCCACCCGCTCGCCGATCCCCACTTCCTCTTCCCTTGGAGCGTCATCAGAGGGCGCCAGAGGCGCCCAGGGCGGGGTGGCTGGAAGGGGAAAAGAGGCCAGCGGAGGAAGCCTCAGAGCGGAAAGAAGAGGGAGGGGGAAGAGAGTGGTTGCTAGGTGACTTGCGTCATCGGCAGGCGCCGCTCTCCTCCCGCCCCTCTCTCTGGAGTGAGGCGAGAGCCCCGCACAGAGCGAGGGAGACAGCGAGCTGAGCTCCGGGCGCTGCCGCTGCTGCCGCCGCTGAGAGTGAGAGCGAAGGCGCATCCGAGAGACCCAGCCCCCCTGCACTGG